ATGGCCCTTGTGGTCTCTTCCAACTCTAATTCTATGATTCTATGATTCCTCTGAGGCTGAGAGAGCATGACTTACTCAAAATCACCTAAGGCATTTCCATGGCTGAGCAGGGATTCAAACCCTGGTATCCCAGCATCCTAATCCAGCATTCAAACCATGTTGGTTCTGATTATTACTTACTGTTATACTAAAATGTAACTTTTCTGCTGTATCATAAAAGGAACCTTTTCTGCTCTTGGTATCCCACAAAGTAACTTGGTGCAGGTAAAGTCATTTGCTGTTTCTAAAATCTTCTTCAGAAATAAAGCTAAATTGCAGTTAATTGAAAATGGAAGCCACGTCCCCCTTGCAGCAGCAGGAATATGTGAGCAAATATTATTATTTATTTTATTTATGTACCACCTTTTTCCCAGAAAGGGACCCAAGGTGGCTCATAGCTCAAAATGGTTTATGCAAGAGGCCACGCTCTACCATTATGGAGAAGAAGCCTAGCTAAAGCTCACATTTAGCATTATGTCCAAATGTAGCCACTGTCTCTTAGCAATGTTTTCATGATAGTGGTGGTTGGTGATTGAACACTTCTTTGCCTCAGGAAATGCCAAAGTTAAAGGGTGGGGGGAATGAACATAATCTCTATTTTTTTCTATCGTCTATTTACAAGTTTTAAAAATACCTCAGCCTTTATACACACATTTTCATTCTGCCAGTACCGGTAAATGTTTTTGGCTTTCCTGTCTCAGAAAACTCTGCAGCTTTGATCTGAAGTGGTTATGAATAAGCCATGAGCAAGGTACAAATATATTAATGCTCTTATGTAAATGGATGTCATGTATTTATATGTTGTCCTTTTGTGTGTGTGTGTTTAAAATACAGCCCCTCAAAGAGGGCTTCAAAGAGCACTCACAGGGTGAAACATGGCTCGGCTTATAACATCTTTTTTAGCATCCTGAGACATGTCTCCTTTTTATTTTTCACTTTGAATATAGCCAAAGATACAAGCAACCAGGGTTGTGAAGGGGACCTGCCACTGCCTGAAGGCCAGGAACCTGGGAGGGGCTCAGTATGGGTGCAGGAATGGGTGCACCCCAAATTGAATGGGTGCAGGAATTCTGGAACGTTCCCTTATTTTTCTGTACACACTTGCCACTGGAAAAAAAAAGATAACTTTTCAAAGGAGGGAACAATGTTTGCAAAGTTATCACCTCAATTTTAGTTTAGCTATCAGGAAAGCAGCTTGTTTAAAAAATATGCAAAGGAATTTTTTTAGATGTAAATGTCTCTCCCCCCCCCCCTTTGGACTGAAGCAAACTGAGGCCTGGCACTGTGAGACAGGCTAGTTTTACAATAGAGATGTTTTGATAGTTACCATTAAACTTTGTCACATGTTTGGTTCAGTCTTGAGCAGGTGTTAAGCCATTTTGATAAAGAAGCTGAGGATTTGGCTTTGCTCCTAATCAGAGCCATAGGCAGTCATGAAGCTATTCCAGCCTTTTCCTTCTTAAATTGGCTATGAATATTTAAGAGGAAAAGCTGCCTTCTCCTTTTTTGCTGCAACCCAAGCCAACGAGTGTCTCCTTTGGCAATGCTAATATTACTCTTTTTTAAAAAATAAAAACAACACACACACTGCACCGTAAAGGTGGTTTGCTCATTTTACTATCAAAAAGGATAGTGAATTCGGAACAGATAGAAAAGGGAAAGGGAGAACAGGTGGTGTAGTATGCTCATGTGTCTTAGTGACAGCATAGATATCATACCCCCAACTGTTCTGATTTGGCAGGGACAGTCCTGATTAATCAATTCATTTTTTCAGATGCTTTAAAAATGTTCCAGTTCTTTTCTTCTCCTTCCATGTTTCTCCTTTATCCAATACTTGCTTCAATTGCTGCAAACTGAGGACTTGTCTACACTGGTCAGAATACTCTGGCCTGCTTCCAGAGTATTCTGGCCCCAGAGTTGCCCTGGTTTTCCCCTGTTATAGCAATAGCAATAGCTATTACATTTCTATACCACTTATCAGTCTATTTAAGCACTCCCTAAGCAGTTTACAACATGTAAGCCAATTGCCCCCAACAAGCTGGGTACTCATTTTAGAGACTTCGGAAGGATGCAAGCCTGAGTCAAGCCTGAGCCCCTGGCTGGTATTGAACTCACAACCTTGTGGTTTGTGAGTGAGTGGCTGCAGTACAGGCATTTAACCACTGTGCCACCAGGACTCCTTATCTCCACATTCCATAGTGATGCCAGGCAACTCACAGTAGTGGTGGTGATGCAGGGTGGCAGAGCAGGCAACATGTGTAAACAGCTGCCCAGCATCATTACAGAGTGCTCTGGATTTGCTTGAAAAATCTGGAGCAAAAGGTGAGTTTTTAAAAACTGATTTTAGCAAAGATAGGGTGGATTTGGTGTGGGACTGGTCTTTCCTTGTGAAGAGAGTCCACATTTGAATCAAAGATTTGGCCCTGTGTTGTATAGACAGGTTGTGGCAAGAGTGGCAGGGAGGGGACTAGTTTACTTGGCCTGTGTAGTCTTGCCCAGAGTTCAAAAGTAGTCTGCACTCAATTAACTTAGTGGGGGAGGAGGGAGGGGAGAGGAAGGACAGAATCTGGCCCTTCAAATTAGGAGATTATTTCACGGGCTTTTATCCCATCATTTTCCTGTTTAACTTCAAAGATGGGTCTTAGCACATTCTCCTGTCTGCATCCCTCTGCAGCCCTTGTGCAACCTGGGCTTATCCATGCTGGAAAAGCCACGTGATAAGCCTGGGTTCAATATGGGCAGCATATGGGCTGCATGTGGGAGAATGTGGTAAGACCCACTTTTGAAGTTAAATGCACTTTTATCCCTTTGGTAAAATGATGGGATAAAAGACCAAGTGATAATCTCCTTAGACTCAGGAAAAAGTATAGTGTTGCAGCCTCTCCTAGCTTATCTGTTCTTTCTCATTAATAACTGACCAAACTCTGCTGTTTCTTGGCCACTTTTCATCTGTGAAATGTTGGAAGATATGGGATATTGCAACCAAACGTTGCTTCTTACATCTCTTTTCGAGAATCTCTGCATGTTATCAGAACATGTGAAAGGTGTTGGAGAAGAGCTAGGTGCACTAGTGTCCAATATAGACTGATGCTAATGCCCTTGACTCTGCTACTGCAGCTTCACATGTTTACAAGGTTTGAAGGAGAAATATTTGTATTTTTGGTTTCTTTGTTTTTATTTATTTGATGAATATCTGCTTATTCCCTCTCAGCCTGTCAGAACTCTCAAAGTGCACACAACAGATAAAAAGTGATAAAATTTCTTTAAAAACAAATAAAACTAATAGTTTTCAGCCAATTTTAAACTTTGTTGTTGTTGTGTGTGCCTTCAAGTCTTTTCTGACTTATGGCCACCCTAAGGTGACACTATCGTGAGGTTTCCTTGGCAAGATTTGTTCAAAGGGGGTTTGCTATTGCCGTCCCCTGAGGCTGAGAGTACATGACTTACCCAAGGTCACCCAGTGGGTTTCATGGCCAAGCAGGGAATTGAACCCTGGTCTCCAGAGTTGTAGTCCAACACTCAAACCACAAACCTAGACATGCAGTGAAAACATAACCAAAAGATAGCCTGGGTTTTAGAAACTATGGAGCATACAAAACAATGTAAACCATCCACAATTTATCAGGTGAAAATTAGGATATATGTGACCAAACAACATCAAGTCAAAATGGCAAACACACAAGCAAGGAGAGGCTGCAACAGTTTGCTTTTGCATGAATCTACAGAAAAGGACAACACTCTGCCCTCTCATCTCCTTCCCTCTACTACTCATTTGCATCAACTGAAGTAAGTTGAGGACAAAGGGAGAAAGTGGGAGAAGGAAAGAGAAACTGGGACATTTTAAAAGCAGCTGAAAAATGAAGTTACAGGAATAATCAGGACTGTACCTGTCAAATCAGGACAACTGGAGAGTATGAATAGTCTTATCTTGGCTGCCTGCTGGAAGCTCAAACTGGATGGGGCTCCCTGACTTCTTTGGAGAGGGAGTTCCTTAGTCATGCTGCTTGCTACTGAGAGAATCCCATCTCATGGACTCATCAAACTAGCTTCTTGAATCAGATTGACACTGGGATCAAACCAGACATTAAGGGGATTGCATATTTCCAGCAGTTAGAACATTTCTCTCTTTGACAACTGGAATTTCTCAAATTCAGGATTAATTCCATGTTTACCTTCTGGTGACCAATCACAAAATAAAACACACTGGAATGCTAGATATGGAGGTGAGAGAAAATATATGTCTTGAATAACAGATGTCTTCCACCATGTAAAGGAGCATGGCTTCAAAATATATACTAAGCTAATCTTTTTATTTAAGCTTTATTATTTTTATTTAACCATATATTTTTGTTTTAAATTTGCTTTGTTTTGTATAGAATTATATGTATTACAGGAATATAGGATTTTAATGTTATTAAAAATATAACATATTTTATTATATGAAGGGATATAGGAGTATAATAAACAAGTATGCATAAGATCAGGGTCCATCAGAAAAAGGGCAACATTTTCAAATCTCACCTTGAACAAGAACATTTCTCTCTCCCACAACTAGAATTCTAGTGCTTTGTGCATTTCATGCTTAGAATAACCCCTGTCAGAAAACAGTTGCACTTGCTTCACTTTCAGGTTGTTTTAGGATGCAACTTGGCACTTCCTAGAGCAAAAGATGCCCATTAGGGCTTCAGTTCATTGAACAGAGTTCTCTGTAGAAGTTTACACAGAAATGGTAAATTGCTTCAAGCACCTTGTAAGCAGTAGGAAATGAATTTTTGAAATGCTTTTTGAAAAAAGTACATTTTGAAAGGTATATGCCAGGTTTCCCAGGTTTTTCCCATGGCAATGGAGAAGGTAGAACACAAACATGACATGCATACAGTATACCTTCAAATGTAGGACCTTGAGAACTTTGTTCTGACTCCATTGTCAGATATTGGATGCATCTAATGGAAGCCACAGGGAGCCTGAAATGTAAATAAGAAAATGGAATATTTTGCCAAGACAAAAAGTCCTGCACTTGGTTTTCAGACTCTCCCATGATAGTGAATGAATGGGATCACCATGCTGATTCATTGCTATCCTATTAGTTTGTTGTCATATTTAATACAAATAGAAGTTGTATCTATGTAATAATGGGACCTGTCCAGAGATTGGAAAACCTTGTTCAGATCAGAGCTTCCAGAATTGGCACTTCTGGTATCTATGGTGGAGTGCTGGCAGCAGGTTCCCTGAGCAGAAACTGCTGATCAGATTGTGGTTTGTAAGTCCGCATTTAAAATTGATTGTGGAACTAAAATCCTTGCCATTAAATGGGGATTAGACTGCTCACAGGGGTCCTGTACTCACCAGGATTGATAAGGAGCAAAGGAGGGAAGGCGATGAAGGACTGTGAACAAGCTGCTGCCGCGATCTGGTGCTTCTAAGAAGCAAAGCCCTGCCGATACCAATATTTTATTTTATGCTTATAACCTGGTTAAGTAAGTAAATAAGCTCCTGATTGTTATAAGATCTTTGAGGAAGACATATATTTCAGATAATCTAATCATAGCAGACTGCATTTAGGCAGTTCTGCATTTTTTGACTGTAATCTGAGGAAGGACTGAGTGATTCGGGAGGAGAAAGAGGGGAAAGTTGGAGCCCTAAGTGTTTAATAAATAACAGACAAACAACAGAGCTTCCAAAATTAATAGTCAGCATAGCCACAAGCTATGCTGTTTTGTGGATTTTGGGAGTTGCGCATTTGTGCCTTCAAGCTGACCATTGATTTATGGCAGCCTGATGAATTTTGTAGGGTCTTCTTAGGCAAGGAGTACTCAGAGGTGGTTTTGCCAGTTCCTTCTTCTGAAATATAGCCTGCAGCACCTTTATGTTGGGATTTGTAGTCAAAGTGGAAATGTACCGATGTGGGAAAATTTCTAACTGTGAAAGCTTTAGCCTGCAGGTGGATTTTACAAAACAAAGTAGCCAAGGTCAGTCTGTGTCTGGGAACATGTAAGAAAGAGTGTAAACAGATTAGGTCATCAGGTTTGATGAGAACCAGGGTCATATGGCACATGACACATAAAAGAAGGCTGGGTTTGAAGCTGTTTAGCAAATGTCTATAAAGGTAACACCCTGGGGGTGGAGTCTTTCCTTGAGTGGCTTGCTGGGCTTGGCATGGCTTGGCATGGAGTTTTTCTTTGTTCTATTGGCTTTTCTACAATGTAAATAGTTACTATGTTAATTCTGCAACTGGAGAATAAAGACCCTTCTTTTGAAGAAAATTTGATCTCTGGTCTGGTTCCTGGAATGCTGGAATACTGCGAGCATCTGAGAGCTACAGATCCAGAGACGGATGGCTGATGAAAGGCCAGTCACGCACCCACTCTCCTATACTCACACCATAAATCAACTCTATAGTCATTGGCAATCTCCCACCCAGGTATTAACCAGGGCTGATCCTGTAGGATCTGGTGCCTTTAGGGGGTGTTTTCCAAAATTCTGGACCTTTCCCATGTGTTCATAAGTCTAAAAACTTCATGAAAACTCTGTGTAGGTTTGGTTCACATAAGCATGTACATAACTTAATGTTTTCCTTTATGATTACTCAAGGGCTGAGTCCTTGCAGAAATGTGTGAATTGAAGCCACTGTATTTGAGGTGCTGTTGAGAAGATGTGACACAAAATATGTGACTGCAGTTTGATCTCTGACTGATTGGTCATACATGTGAGCCACCAGCTAACTTATATTGCAGCTTCTAGTCCTATGAGGCCACAAGAAATCAGGAAGAGGGCCATTCACAACATCATTTCCAAACTGCCATCTGTGAGCCAAACTAGAGATGGACATATCTATCAGTTTTGCTTTCTGCCACATTTTTTAACCAACTTAAGCCTTTTCCATCAAATTTATAAAGATATATCTTCGATAAAATTTAGATGGACTCAGGTAAGAAATATTCACTACATATGTTTATATGTGGTTCCTCTCTCCAAGGAGTGCTCCATTTTTGTGTTAGTTCACATCCCTAACTTCTTCCCATTCTTTCAGCACCAGTTCCAATACAGGCCCAAGGATCATCAGTTAAACAAAGGAGTGGAAGGAAATTGGGTATATATGTGGAGTGGAGTAGAAATGGGAGAGACTTGTATTGAGCTTGTTTCTTGACAACATCTGTAAGATGCCTTGTGTCTCCTTCAGGGAGAAAAATGGCATAGAAATGAAATGAAATAAATAAAAATAAACTTTCAAAATTCTTACATTTTATCATAAACTTGAAGAGGGGGAATCCAAGATCTTTTTTATCCTTCAAATTTGAATGTGGAACAAAGCCTAACTGCTGGAGTTTCTCATCCAGGATGAAGGCTATGAGTACTTAGCTTTTCAATGTCAATTGTATAATGACCAATGTCCTTAATTCACTGTGTTGAATTAAGGTTGCTACTTTTTCTGAGGGAAATAGAAGCAGTGGTGTGGGGTCTGACAGCATGTCTTGTGCTGTCTCCCTGGGGCAAAAAATCCATAATGTAACAGAGAGGCCGACAACACTCATCAAACCCACTGATTGTTATCTTTTCCTTTTGGTGTATGTAGGAACCACTGACATTGCAAGGGATAGCCTTCAGGATATCGCAAGGGATTATGAGGCTCTGGGTAGGAAGATGAAGGACCTTGATGCACAGGTTGTCATTTCATCTCTCTCCCCAGTTGAAGGATACAGCCCAGGAAGGGAGAGAAGAATAATGGAAGTGAACAACTGGCTCTGCAGATCACTCTGCAACTGGCAACTGCACCTCACAGCAGTTGGCTGGAATATTTTTGCTAAGAGTCACATGAACCTGATCAGGAGTGTTTTAAACTAAGTTATGTGGAGAAGGGAAACAATATTCTTCAGGGCAGGAGTGTATCAAGTGCTGGAGATAATAGCCTGAATATTATAGAGAAAACTGGGCAAATAGTACAAGAACCCAGCAGTAGGAGGAAAACAACCCCTTAAATTAACAGCTAGAGGGAAAAACCCATGGTCTTAAATGTCTCTACATTAATGCACAGAGCATGGGAAATAAACAAGATGAACTTGAACAATGCAAACTTTAACAAAGGAAAGCAAAGATGATATAATAGGCATCACTGGAAGCTGATGGGATAAGTCTCATTATTGAAATGTAATAACAGAGGTGTATAACCTATTTCAGAGAAATAGATCAAGCAGGAAAGGAGTAGTAGCATCATATGTTAAGAATACTTACATCTGTGAAGAGAACCATAACTTAAATCTTAAAAACTAGGTTGAGATCATCTGGGTAAAAATTAAGGAGGAGGGGAGCTACAGTGCTCAGATTTTAAAGGGACATTTACAAGAAATTGGAAAAAAAAGCTGTGGAAGGGATCACTAAAGATGAATTTAAACAAATAGCCAGCATGTATAAGAAGAAAGTAAGAGAGGGTGAAGTGCAGAAAGAGTTCAGGCTTGCTAGAGAGGTTAAAAACAAAGAAAATAGCTTTTTTTTGGTTATGGTCATAGCAAAAGGAAGCTATAGCAAAAAATCAATATGGGGTTCT